AAAAGAAAAAGAAAACCAGAGTTGCTTGCAATCAAAATCTGTTAAATGGAAACAAGCAAACTGAAAAAACCAACGAGAGCTTTCTTCTCTTCTGTGTTGCACCAAGAACAACTTTTTTTTTTTTTTTTTATTAAAAGAAAAAAATCTAACTAAGAAAATATTTTTCTAATTTCTAATTTTGTATTTCACCTTTCAGTTATTATATTTAGTTAAATTATATGTTATAATAAACAAAATTTTTATACCCATTATCGTTACGTGAGGATCATGTTATAAAAATTAATGAAATAATTATCAATGTGAATTATATATTTTATTTAAAAAATTTATACAGTTTCGGTATACTTAATATTGTTATTCTTGCTTCTCGATTTAAATTACGTAAATAAATTTTATTTAATTTAATATATATAAATCTTAAAAGAGATAAAAAGATTATGTTACGATCAAAACAAAAAAGATGCCAAAAGGTGGTAACATAGGAGTCAACGAGGTTATAAAATTGGCATGAGAAATTTGTGTCCAAACAAGTGACCCAAGCTGTAAGTGCATATACAAATATTGCAGGGATTATATAATATATATATATATATATGTGTGTGTGTGTATGTATGGAGTGGAGTGGAGTGGAGTGGTTGTTGGGGAATGGAGGAAATTGATGAGGAAGCCAATGAGTATTGAGGTGTTGATTTTGAGCATATGAAAGATTCAATTCCTTTCTGCCTACAAATTCATTTTACTTTTTGTTTGCCAAATTAAAATGAAAAATGAAAAATGAAAAAAGGAAATAAAATAATTTGTTTTAAAAGAGGGGGAGGGACAATTATTATTGCAGGTGTCCGTCCATCAATTATTTCAAAACCAAACTGTACAAGACGTGGCATCTATTCAATTCATTTGTCTCTTTTTTTTTTGGCAAATTTATTATTGTTTACAATAATATTCTAATTTTTTTTAAAAAAAAAACTTTTATATATTATATTAAAATATTTACTTCTAACTTAATTTTTTTTTTTTTTAAATTTCAAATTGGTCTTCATACTTCCACAAGTTTTTCAAAATTTTAATTCTATCAATTTAACACCTAAAAAAAAAGAAGAAAAAAATACCGAGAAAGAAAAACTAGGGCTACAATGATGCTTTCGATGTTTTATTTTAGTTGGAATTTTTATGGTATTGAAGCAAAATAAAATTTTTGATAATGATTTTGACCGAGAGATGATAGTTTTAGGCGAATTATTATTTATTTTTCATTGAATTATAAGCATTTTTTGCAAATTAATCCAAAAAGTGATGAAATTTCAAGAAATAATTTGAAATAAAAAAATATATTAAGGATTAAATTAAAAAAATAATTCGTAATTTGGAAACTAAAATAGTAATTTATATTTTTATTAATTAGTTTGTATAACAATATAAATTTATTTATGAAAACAAAGGAAGCACGTATCTCAAAAACTTAAAACCCACAGCCTTAGAAAGAATTATACAAGCATAAAACTATTTAGTAAAAAAATAATAATGTAATTAAATTAGTTATAGGTCATAAATTAAATTATATATCCGATAGTTGATGCATATGCTTTCCTCAATCAATGAAAATGTTTGAAATTTTTATTTAATATTAAAAGAAAAATGAAAATAACTTCTTATTTCAATTAGTCTTGAGAATAATTTCTTTCTTCTTATATTATGCAGGACCCTGTCTGTGTGTGTGGGGGGGTAAAGATGTAGCTTTTATTTATTACATCATTTGGTTAAATAGAGGGTAAAGTAATAACTTGGTTGAAAAATTACAAGGTACCAAATCTAGAGTTGAATATATCATAATTCTGCATGTTTATATCAAAAAAAAAAAAAAAAAAATCTATAAATATGCAAGTATTGAAACAAATTTTATCTCATGAGCTCAAAGAATTTACATTTTTAAATAAAATAAATTTTCTAAAATCCT